CTGCCTGCCTGCCTGCCTGCCTGCCTGCCTGCCTGCCTGCCTGCCTACCTACCTACCTACCTACCTACCTACCTAGTCTCTCTGTCTCCCTATCTACTGTGTTTTTCTCTCTCTCCCTCTCTATCCTTCTATCTACTTACCTACTTTTTTTTAATTTGCCTCTTCAAAACCTTGGTGCCTCTTATATTCCGAAAAATACGGTAGTCCTCAACTTACAACAGTTCATTTACTGACTGTTCATTATACTGTATAAATGAAGAAACCATTACGACCATTGCAGCATCCCCGTGGTCACATGATCTAAATTCAGATGCTTGGCAACTGACTCTCACTTATAACGGTTGCATACCCCCCGGGGTCATGCTATCCCCTTTTGCAACCTTTTGATAAACAAAGTCAATGGATATTCACTTAGCAACCGTTTTACTAACTTAACCACTGCAGTGATTCGCTTAAGAACTATATAGCACAAATGGTTGTAAAATGGGGGGAAACTCACTTGACCAATGTCTCACTTAGTGACAGAAATTTTGGACATAGTTGTGGTCATACGTCGAGGACTAGCTCTATTTCATGCTTATGAAACATAATCATTGCCTATGTAGCAAAATTACCATCCAGGAAATACGATGGCATAAAAAAGAAAAGAAAAAATTATCATGTTTGCATAGAAATACTTTGCATGGCAAAACTGGAGCTCTGCTGCCCTCTGGAGGCTGATTATAAGAACTTTATGAATTTAAAATTTATTCTTTACCAAAATATCTTGGACTTCACTGACAGCTGGCCTAATCTTCCACTTGTAACAGGAATAAACGTCTTCCATTTCGTCTCTGCAATCTGAGAAATGGAGGAAAAATAAGAATGAGTAATGGGCTGTGGGAAGCCTCCCCGCACCCCAGACGAAAGAAATGATTTGGGGGAATATTAAAATATTATATTTCCTGAAAGGAGAAATGGTCTTAGAGGCAGAAAGCAGCCCCAATCTCCTGATTTGTAAAACAACCTCCAGCAGATGCCTGAAATCTTTAGAGATGGAGATTTTATGCCCATTAAGAAAAGTCTGGACCAACCCAGGGGTGGGATTGAAAAATGTTAGCAACTGGTTCTCTGCCCAGTTGAAAATGGTCTCCCCCGGCTTCTAGAGGTTGGAAAAGGCCCATTTTTGGACTTCTAGTAGGTCTGTTTTTCGCCCTCCCCAGGCTCTGTAGGCTTCCAGAGTGCTGTGGGCTATGATGCCTCTTATCTAACCATTCCCTAGGAAGCATCTCTTTGCTCCATCCTCCAAAGTCTTTCCCACATGCCACAAAGAAGGAGAGGTCAACCTATTTTCCAAAGCACCAGAAGGCAGGACAAGAAGCGCAATGGACAGAAATTAATCAAGGAGAGAAACAACTTAGAAATAAAGAGAAATTTCCTGACAATGAGGACAATTAATCAGTGGAATGGGTTGCCTTCAGAAGTTGTGGGTGCTCCGCAGGGGTGGGTTTCAAAAAATTTTAGAAGCTCTTTTGTAGGTGTGGCCTGCTTTGTGGGAGTGGCTTGCTGGCCATGTGACCAGGTAGGAGTGGCCTGCCGGCCATGTGACTGGGTGGGAGTGGCTTGCCAGCCATGTGACTGGGTGGCTGTGGTCAACTTATAAAATGTGGTGAAACTCACTTAACAACGTTCTTGTTTAGCAACCAAAATGTTGGCTCAGAAACTCTGGCATTTGAAGCACGCAAGTCTTAAAGCTGTCAAGTTACAAGACTCTCACACCCCTAAACCCCAGGGGTGTTCAAACATGACACCTTTAAGACTTGTGGACTTCAACTCCCGGAATTCCTCCTCTCGCTCTTCATCTTGATGATGTGAGGACGGGTGGAGGGAGGGAGCTGGAACCGGTTCTAAACGGCACTGTAGATTTGTGGAACCTCTTCTATAGAAAAGGCTAGAACTGGCAGGAACCCACCCCTGGGGCTCCATCACTAGAGGTTTTTAAGAAGAGATTGGACAGCCATTTGTCCAGAGTGGCAGTGGTGGGTTGCAGGCAGTACGCCCCGGTACGGGCATACTGAAGCCTGCCCGGAGCACTGGGTATAGTTCCGGTATGGTGCTCTGGAGGGCCCACCCGCCCGCCCAAGTTCTTTACCGTCTTTTAAAGCTTTCAGCCCTTCCGCGCACGGACATGGCGCATACATCGCCTGCGCAAGGCTCCGCTCAGCAGCTGAAGCATCGCGGAGGCTTGTAGAAGCGTCCTTCGCAGCTACAAAGCATGTGCATGTCGCACGTATCCATGTGGGAGACGGTGGGCCCATTCCAACCGTACCTGTTGGAACGGGATCTGGAACCCAACACTGCAGAGTGGTATAGTGTCCCCTGCTTGTGCATGGAATTGGACTGGAAGACCTCCATAGTCCCCTCCGACTCAGTTACTCTGCTATTCTCTTTTTCTGTTATTCATTGCAACTACTGAGATGCAGTCCACTTTAATGATGAGCCCAAGCCAAAGTCCAGCCAAGGGAAAGATGAATGGGTGCATCTTTGCTATTGAGTATCCTGCCCCTTTTTAATCAGGGGTTTACTCAATTTCATTGTATGCATATTGTGCATTGACAATAAAGGTTTGATTTGATATCTTGCATTGTGTGCAAGATATACTTACACTGGAAACTCGGCCTCTGCTTCTTCTCATTAGACCAACATCTTTTCATGAGGTCAATCAATTTTCCCAGTTTCAGCACTTTATCGACCTGGTTCTCCAGAGCTTCGGTCAGCGGCCTTTGACCTCGGGGGATATGCATCTTGATCATGGAACTCATGTTGGCAGGGTGGAGATCTGAGCAGGGAATGGAAACGGAAACTGTGAATGGTATATTTTTCAAACGGAACCTCACCCAAGGCCTGGCTTTCAGGCATCCCTACCAACTCATTCAACAACAGGGTCAAACAAAAGAAATGGTAGAGTGGAGATGAAAGGAAAATAAATATTTCTTGTACTGTAGAGCATCACCCTTCTGCCTGTCAATTCTCCCCATATCTTTCTATCTGTGCAGACTGTGGTGATATGTCCTCAGGGAGGGTCAAAAATGTCAAGAAAGCAGATATAACCATGCAATATTCCTCAGTGAATTTAAACAGTATATCAGTGGTGGGATTCAGCTGGTTGGCACCTATTCGGGAGAACCGGTTGTTAACTTTCTAAGCAGTTTGGAGAATAGTTGTTGGAAGAAATCTCATTTTGTTTATTTCCACTTCACAGGGCTAATCCTGTAAGGAAGACAGGTGTTGTTTCTAGCCTCAACTTTTTCACGCTGCTTACAGAAACTGCCTCTCCAGTTAACCCTTATTACATTGTAACAGCCAAGGCAAAGCACCCATCGACGTGAGTGACGTTGAGTTGGCCACGCCCACCCAGTCACATAACCACTGAGCCCCGCCTACCCATCTGGTCATTA